AAGAGGTTAAGTACCTTGCTCCAGTTATAGGGAGACAATAGTGGAGCCAGAATTCAAATCCAGGCTACCGATCCTAACCTATTTGCACAGGCTGGACACAAATCCAATAAGGATTTCTGTCATTAATATCAGCTCTGTTCCGGGCATTCACAGGGCTGTCTACTCTCCTCCTTCCTGAGCAATGAAGCAGGCCCCTGATAAGGTCTGCGTGGAATCACAGTGCCTGGAATCAGTCCTGAACATCTGCATGGGCACACTGTGTCACTCATGTTCCCCAGGGGGCATGGATCAGTCCCAGCCAGTCTATTTTCAGGACAGAGGAGATAATTTCAAGGGAGGCTCTCCTCAAAATAACATTCTAGCTTTGTATAGTTTCTATTCTTTTTCTTTTTTTGAAATAGGTTCTCACTTTTTAATTCAGGCTGGCCTTGAACTCACAATGTAGGCCAGGCTGGCCTTGAATTCAGGGTAATCCTCCTGTTTCAGCCTCCTGAGTGCTGGGATTATAGGCATGCAACATCACACTGGGCTACCTCGTATATTTAAACAGCACTATGTGTATCTTTGAATATTTAACTGTTACACTGGCATTGTCACTCCTGTACTGGAGTCCGGTGTTCAGAGTGGTCGAGATGTAAAGTCACTCCCAACTACCACCAAGATTAAGAGGAAGTGAACAGTGACCGCACCTGGTGCCTGCTGCACAACTTACATAGACATCTCACTCAGACTCCAATACATCTGTAACAGTCTTCAAAGGCACGAACTATTACTTTCTCTCATGATTAGCTTCAGAGAGATTACGTTGTCTGAGTTTACCCAGCTAGTACCAGTGGATCTGGGAGTTCTGACATAACTATGTCACTATGTATGTAGAATGTACCACAGTATTTATAAAACATTTTATTCCTAGAACTACAAAATTTTTTCATTAAAAAACCAATACGTGTAGTAACTTTGGAGTAGATGAAAGATATTTTTGATACCTTTTGTTTTTCTTTTTCTTTTTTGGTACTGGGGATGGAGCTCAGGACCTTGCATTTGCCAGGCAGGTGCTTAGGCTGCTGAGCTATCTCCCCGGCTCGATGACAGATACCTATTCTACAGATGCAGAAACAGGATCATTTGGGTGAAACGGGTTGCATCAGCATGATAAGGGTACAATGCTAGACTGGGCGTGGTGACGTGTGCCTGTAATCCCAGCACTTGGGAGGCTGAACACAGGTGGATTACTATGAGTCCAATCTATGTAGTGAGACCCTGTAATAGTAATAATAAAAAAAGTATGCTGCTATTTCATATCCCATAGGGTCCCACAGTCCCACTGACTATTAAGGAAAATGCTTATTAGGGTGCTATATTTAACCCTATAGACACTACTAAATCAGTGGCTGGTGGCACTGTATTGATAAGGTGTTAACAGGAAATAGAAATTAATAGTATGAAGAAGATAGGCGCTGTGATACAATGAACTGGTTACACAGGTAATAGGTCAGTGGAGATGCCAAGTAGGGGACAAGGAGCCAGCCGAGAGCCTGGGAAGCTCCTGAGGAAAGACAGAGGTTTACCTGTTACCTGAGCTCTGATACCCAGCTCACCTGGTAAAAGCTAGAACCACGGCCATCTGTATAAGAGAAGGCAAAGCCACAGAGTTAGCAGCTCCTGCTATTAAGAGACCCAACAGAAGGGCAGAAAAAGGGAGATATACAGTTTCTGTCTCTTATTAGCGCTGTGCTCTGGGCAAACCTAGCGGGGTGCCAGCTGACATCAGAGCTTGAGAAACCTACATGGGGTTAGCCCAGAATGAACAAAAATGGAGACAGACAGCAAGGGCGGGGGGGGGGGGGGGGGGCGAGGGGGGGGGGGGGGCGGGGGGAGAGCAGACCGGGGAGATGGCTCAGTAGAATAAGCACTTGCCTGGCAAGCGCAAAGGCCTGAGATCAATCCCCTATTCCATGCAAAGAAAAAAAAAGCTGGGAAGGGCAAGAAAGGAAACTGAAGGCACAAGCCCCAAACACTCTGGCCTTTCCATCTGTATTCATGGTCACCATTAGCCCCAGGAGACCAAGTGAGCCTGCAGCTGCTGTTAGAACCATGGTAACTGCACCATGCCGAGACCACAGGCAGGATCTGGCCCACACAGGTCTCCTGGACAGCTTGCTAGTATCTTTAGTCAGTTGCCAATAATTTATACCATTGTCCTACTCAACAGTCACAACTTCACTCCTATTGTGCCTGTACCTTACTTACTCTTCCTTTCTTGCTTGCTTTCCTTTATCTTTTTCCTTTTTTTGTGTGATGGGGAAAGAGCCTAGAGCCTTGCACATGTTAAATGCTCCACCCCCAAGTTCTGTCCCCAGCCTTACATGCTTTTTTCCCCAGGACTAAACATACCTGAAGCAGGATACATTACTTGTCCATTAGCACTAAAACATAAGCTGTCTGAGGGCAGGGATTTGTTGGTTTTACCCATTCTTTGTCTCCACAGCCTAGAAAATCATCTGGATCATAGTTCGGCACTCAAAAACCAGTTCTTTTTTGAATTAGTGAATTAAATTTATTTTTTAGAATTTATTTATTTGATATAGGGTCTTGCTATGCAGTTCAGACTCCTAGTGATCCTCCTGTCTCAGCCTCACCAGCGCTGGAATTACAGGTGTGGGCCACCTGGCCTGGTTTCAGTGGGAGGCACAGTGTGGCTGGGTTCTGTGGTTGGGTTCTGGGGCCAGCACAGCATGTGGTATTGGGGATTGAACCCGGATCCTTGCACTTGTCAGTCAGGAGCTTAGACTGCGGAGCTATCTCTCTAGCCGTTGAATTAATTAATTTTATTTTTTTATTTTTATTTTTTATTTTTTTTCAAAATTTTATTGATAAACAGCAATGAGACAGTTTCAAATCAAATCAGAAGTACAGTTTCAACAAATAACACACTGCATATATTCTTCTTAGTGG